TACAGCAACGTAGAAATTCCTTTACATCATCTAATGGTGGTGGCTTGTTCTTTATTATTTTATGAACATTGTACAACATTCGACCATAAGACGTTTGTATTGAAGTGAATTCACCACTCATGCATTCAGGAATGGCTATCTCAACTATTAGAAATAAATTACAGTTTTATTATTAATAATATTATACCTACCAGTTGGTGTATTAGGTGGAGTAGGTGATGGTGTAGTTGTTCCAGTGCTTAATGTATCAGTGCTCATATCATCATCAGGAATAACAACTTTAATAAGCTTCTTATCATCATTGAAGGATTGGTCTATGAAACAAAATTTGAGCATCATTGCTGTAGTGTAAAATGGAATAAACTCACCATAGTCTCTTTGTATAACTGTTCCTAGTTTTACATTACCAGTGAACTTGCACAACACACTAGCAAATGTTTGTAGTAAACTATACTTGCTTTGAATAGCTACTATAATGGCACCTAACAGGACTTCACGTTGATTAGGAACAGAGGGACTAGCTGATTCCACTCTAGCCAATACTTGTCCTGTTATGACACCCTCTCTTTGAAGCATAATAGCTACACTGACAGGATCAGAGAGAGACTGAGAGAGGAGTGGATGATGAGTGTTGAATATATGAGTAGCCAGTACTGTATTACATTCTATGGAATACACACAGAGTCAATACTAATACAATCAGTGATAGTAACTTACTCTCTTGATCTAACTTGTCAGCTGCAGCATTCTCATTCATAGATTTAAGAGCATCTGACAATGAGTCAAAGGTAGCTCCTCCTTTACTGTCAACATTATCAGCTCTACGCAACCATCTGGCAATGCATTCAATAAAACGATCTTCTACTTTTGAGTAGTTTTCTGCAATAGCGTCCAGTGAGTCCATGAGTAATCCTAGTGTCAGTCCTAGTTCCTTCCATCTCCTCTGAGGGAAACCACATCTCTTCAACAGATTAAGTACATCAATAAGTTGATCTAAATAATGATTATTATAAATCTAGTACTTATAATGGATGCTACCAACCAATAGTCAAAGAAGAAGAGAAGAGAGAAGGAGGAGAGGAATAGTTGCTGCTCTTCGTCGCCATTGTTTACTTTTAGTTTGCAGAAAGGTTAGGGTGGGGCTGGATAAGGGCGTGGCTCATTCACTAATTGCATACCTCAAAGATGGTGGCAGAAAGTAAGGACAAGAGAACATTAAATGACCTTTCTCTTCTTGTCTTGAAGGTCCTTCACTAGCAGGAGACACTCCAGTGAGAACAAGCAACAGAGAAAGGAAGAGAAGAAGTACCAGAGAGTTTATTCCAGGAAGTGACTAAAGAAGAAGATTACGCTGACATAATTCACACGTGTCAAGAAGATAATTTTTTTTATTTTTCTCTCTTCTCAGCTTTTATCAAAATCTGGTAAGCCAAAGTTTATGTGGTGGGTATGGCTTATTATTATTATTATCATATTTAATTAGATCTACGTCTCATAGAGTTCTTGCACTGATGTAGTCAATGGGAGGGTGTGGCTAAATTTGAGCTAAACTGTCCGCCATGTTGGGTGGCAAGAATGTACATAAAGGAATGGAGAGAGAGGGGGGGGGAGGGAGGAAGGGTATTCTACAAGAAAAGAGATAATTACAGTATCAGTTATTAGATTTGTCTTTTAGGATCTTCAGAATGCAATAGTTAATGAAGTTCAACATCAAACATCAGAAATACAGCAACTAGTTTATAGAGTAAGTGATACACTTTTACATGTACATTGTAACTTTCCTTGATATCTAATTATCTATTCTATATGTACATTAAATCATAAGTACTGTATTTTAATTTTTTATTGATAATTATTTTGTACATGGACTTGTATATATGCATTGATAAAATTTCTCTCTTTATCTCTCCCCATACTGATTCTACTAATATTTACAATCATTTCATGTCCAAGCCTAATGTCCTCCAGCGGCTCAATAAACACGTAGCTAATCTTGATAG